CTCTTCCTGAGAAGAATTTATCTGTGAGACATAGAAGATGCTGCCACAGCCTCAAGCTGCAGCCAGGCCTGTGCCAGGCCTCACTGCTCTCAGCCCTGACCCTCACCCGTGGACGTGACGTCCTGGTTGGACTGCAGACCTGCCCGTCCCTATGGACTGGCCTGGTGATCTGCACTCTTGGCTGACCCTGCTTACTGTCACCGGACCTGTTCTGCTTTTCCTGGTGAGGGCCTGTGTGTCTTGTTCCCTGGCCTGCGAGGTCACGGACCCTGCCAGCCTTGCTGCGACTCTCAGCTCGCCCTTCCTCTACAGGACAGCTTATCCTTGATGTGGCCTTGCAGATACTGCTTTGCACATAACATTTTCACCTTTACCCATAACAATAACTACATCAGTATTAGTTATACTCATATACTACTGTAATAGTAGAAGTAGCATCAAGAAAAGTCAATCAATTCCAAAATACAGCCAAGAAAAAAAAAAACAACAACATGAAAAGAAGTATAAGGAAAGAATAACACAGGTTTGAAAAGAAAAACCACCACCACCAAAAAACCCCCAAACAAACCAGTGCTCACCTTTGTTCTTAATCCACCACCTTCATGGACCATTTCAGAATACCTGTTCTTCATTTCTCCCTGCAAATTAAGCTGGGACTCTCTCACTCTCTCCTCATACACCCTCAGTTTCTTCATAGTTCTGTTCAGAAGCCTCTTCAACCTACACAGCAAATTAGTCAAGAAAACAATGAAGCAAAGGAACAACCGGCCTTTTTCACATACTCTCACATAAAAAGCACAGACATAGCCTGCTTCATCTTTAACGTGCTTGACACACCAGGAATTACTGAGAAAAAATATCATTCCCATGCCACAAGTCACTTGGAGCGTCCAAATTTCACCTGAAAAGAGGAATACAAGACTTCCCTCCCTCTGTCCCAGGAAAACCACAGGGCAACCTGCATTTGCAGTTCTTTCGGCAACTATTGAAAACTATAGGCACATGTACAGAAGCGCCTTGGAAGAACATGGGGCTTGAATTTGCTCACAAACAGTTACGTACACCTGTTTTTACGTTAAAGTTCAATAAAGCTTGACTTCTACTCAGGGATAGCTCTTCACCATACTAAAAAGCCATACCTCTTACAGTCTTTCTGCAGTTCGATGTTTCTTTTCATTTCTTGGTCCAGACGCAGTTCAACTGGGCGTTTCAACTCTACCAGCTTCTTCACTTTCTTTCTTTCACTCTCACACTTTCAAAACAGAAAAGATACATGACACACAGATCATAGCAACAGTATCTACATGTAGTATGTGCATCTAGCGTTCTCCACAGAGAAGCTGCAGTACACCTTTATCTGTTAGCCAAGTTCCTCAGAATGCCAAGAGACAGAACTCCTCAGAACGTTTAATCACTTCAGGTTTCACATCAAACAGGCTAATACCTAACAACAGAAACAGACACCCCCACTGAAGCAAAGGCCACCCTCTTCTAATGCTTCAAGGCAAAAAGGTGGAAAAGATGCTGGAGAACACTTTCAGCCGTTCCTCTGCTCATACCAGGGATTACGTAGGTTTGCACATCACAGGAGAGCATAGGCCAATCTAAAGCTTTCACGGGATCTTCAACGACCAGCAGGCAGGGGCCTACGGAGGAATTTGATCTTTTGGAATTCTTCAATGTTTTATTCCCCTCTACCATTACGTCGATCTCTTCTTTGTGGGTATTTACTTATTCACATGTTGTTCTTCCTCTTGGTGTTTTCTCAGCCAAACCAGAGGAGAGCTGGCAGCTGTTTTGACTTTGTATTTCCATTTTTCCCCTAGTGAAAAGGAGAAAAGGGAGACTTCCCCTTGGAAACTGGCAGCCATTTCTTGTTTCTCAAGCACTAGTTCATTTGGCCAGAATTCCTTCAGTACGTTTTTCTGCAAGGCTTTTAAGCTCCCACTAGCCTGAAAACATGCAGCAGCTCTTCCATACATTGCGCTGGAAACATGAAGCATTTTAACGTTGCCCAGAAACCACAGGGTCAGAACATGACCAGAATGAATCCAAGGAAAGAACTGGGGAACTGCAGCCTTGCTCCATGCGCTCAACTGACAGCAAACCACACTGGGAACTCTTCCCAATGGAACCACTCCAGAATTTACACAAAGATACCCAGCTAGCTTTTATTCACTTCCTGGATGATCCCCAAATCACAAGATACCCAGCGCCTGAATGGCAGGGATAACAGAAAAAGGCGAGCGTGTAAGAACTTGACAAAAAGGTGAACGCGGTTCTCCTGGGTATTGGCTAGGTGTCTTGAGAATTTTCTGGGCTCACCTGTTCCAAGAGTTCAGCCTTTTCCCTGTTAAGCTGAGCAACACGCTCTTCAAGGTGGGATCTTGACTTCAATTGCTCTTCCCACATGCTGTGCGAATCCTTTGATGTCAGAGCCAGCACATTCTGCTTTTGCATCTGTGAAAGCAATGGTGGCAAAAGAAAAAACTAAGGTGACCAGAAAGACAACCCTGCAACAGAAAGCAGTAACTCAAATGGAAACAGGCCTAAGCTCTCCTCTCCCCATCTAAGATCTACGGTTAAGGTTAATGTGGAGCGTAAAACACACTCCAGGAAACATAACCAAGAACAGCAATTGAAGCTGGTGGAAAGAATGAACACTCTAGAAGTGACAAGATGAGGTTACAACGTTGGGGGATGAGATGACACACACACACACACACACAATCACGCTACAACTTTCTTCCAAAGGTCCTCTGGAGTTCATGATGATACATACTTTATAATATAATAATTCCTCTAGTGCCCATCACAGAAAATACCCTACTCTCACTGCTGCTGTAAAAACTGTACATCTCCTGAGAGCAAGAAAACATTTTCTAATCAGCAATGCTATTTATGCTTCTACCCAAAGGGACCAAGATTTGCCTAACAGATGCGTTTGAGTGGAACAGAACTTGCTGATTCAGTTCAAGTATAAAGAATGCAAGTTGAGTAGATGCTTTTAGTGGCATTCTGTAAGGAGAAGAAAAAAAAAGTCACGAAAACCTTAGCACAAAGGGTTAGATAAAAAGTCCTCAGGGTGTACAACTTTCTCAAGTGTCCTAACAGAGCAGGTGAAACGCTGGGTCTTACAACAGAAGCTAACATGGTCTCAAGGGCAAGCTCTGACAAAGCTGCAAAGGTAACACAGATCTCCCAAGTCCAGTCTCCTCTCTCAGCTTTCAACCACAGAACTCCCCCCCGCCCACAACATCCATCCTATCCATCATCTGCCACAGTTTAACTCCAGTAGGCACCTAAGCACCACACAGCCACTTGCTCACTCCCCCTGGTGGGATGGGGGAGAGAATTCATCAAACAAATCAAGCGGAACAAAAGTATCTTGCACACCACCACACACATCCAAAACATAGCAGCAGGGGAATGAGGAAATTTACAGCCTTTTCCCTTGAGGGTGCCTTGCCCCAAAACCCGAAGGGGCAGTTCAGTCAGCTGAACTGTGCCTATGCAGCCCACCTGATCTTTTCATCAATTACCTGCACACAAAAAATTCAGATACTAAAACAGTCATTCACAGAAGCCAGTCATATACCTGCTGATGGTGGTGGTCCTCTGCAGCTGCCCGTGTTGTCTGTAAGCCAGTTATCAAGTCTTCCAGGCGGTTATGAACCTACAGAAGCATTAAAAGAAGGAAGAAGACACAGTATGACTTTCCAGACTGAATTTTACACCTCATTATAAAAAAAAATATTACATACTCCTCTTCATTCCTATAGTATTTACACCCAGCACCAATGATCAAAATGGCCTTAGTTTGATGCCACTGTAAAACTGTTAGCAATCATCGCCTCTGCCATTTGCTTCAGGGAGAGAGAACACCATGCCAGATACAAAGAATCTTCAATGAAAACAGGCAGGAGTAGCTTTTCTCATCCACAGTACATTTGAAAACCATGCCCTATTAACCAAGGGGGAAGGACCAGCATCATGACTGCCCTCCCTCTTCTCTTGTCAGTATCAGTACACCACAAAGTTCAACTTTCACATGTAGTTATTTTCAAAATCTCTTAAGCACTAATTAACAACTACAGTCTAACAAGAACCCTAGTTCACTGGTTATAATACAAAAACAATTTGCTTCATACAGGCCACAGATGAAAGCACCTTATCTGAGCTAAAATGAACCACTGCATAGGGGCACTGGGAAATTCCAAGGCTCACACCGAGTTCTGCAAATGATACCACATTCGCCGTTTCATGAAAACAAACGCACACCAAGTGGCCAAAGGAAGAGCTCTTCTGCACAACAAAAGCTCTGGGGAGTATAATATTTTTTCCAGTCTGATGATGCCAGTCAGGCCTGTGGCACGAACACTTGGCATCAATATCCCCTGTGGAATTTCCACGAGTTAACTTGATGAATACCTTTAGTGATACACATTGCAACAAGTGTCTGAAGCAGCATCTGATGTCATGACAGGTCTAAAGCAGACAATAGTTACACCAGCGTATTAGTGTCAAATCCTTACCTTTAAGTTAAGTAGGACTTGCTATTACCTTACCTTGCGTTAAGTAGGACTTGCTACAGTAGCATGGGAAAACTCTCAAAACCAGAAAGCTGGGCAATAGGCCAGGCTGCTTTCCGGGCAGCCCGTATTCAGTAGAATGCAGGAACCGAGTTCCCCGTGGCTCTCCAGGAAAACCTCATCTTAAAATTTCCCCACAGAAAGTGGCAACTAGGCTCAGGGGCTCACAAAAAGGGAAGTTTCTGATCAGCTTACCGAGGCAGAGGCTTGCAGGTCTCTCTGAAGGGCTTCAATCCTATTGTTTTGTTGCTGGACTGTGGCTTCCAATCTGGCATTTTCAATTTCAAGGCTTAAAAAGAAATACAGGTCTTATTACGGAAATCCACCAGAGCACCAATTCTGAAAGAACAGCGTGAAATAACGTAATCTAAAACAAAAGCATCCTTCAAAATCGTGTTATTAACTTGCTGTGATGCAACAAGGCTATCCTGTTGTTTTCACACAATCCCAGAAAGCGACAGGCACCTTGCTTCACTGTGTTATTCTCTTACCGTTGCACGTGCTCTTCCAGTTGTTTTATAGTAGTATTAGTCCCAGAAGATGCCAACAGGAGGTCCTGCAGCTTCTGAGAAGAAGCTGTTACTTCTCTTTCCTTATTATCCAAGGCAGCCTTCAAGTCATGAACACAATGCTCAGACTGAAGATGCTGTTCTTCCAGCTCCCGCAACTGTAAAATCACAGTAAGAATCCACAGTAGTCAGGTGAGCTTCTATATAGAGGGGTCAACTGCTGCTGAAGGATTCAAGTACTGCATATATCTGCACATACGCTCTACTCAAAGAACTGTAATCATTTCAAGTACGTTCAAACCTTCACTTCTACTAGCAAATGAACACAAACTGTGTTACTTCATCATCTTTTATACTGGCCTCTCCCATCCCTACACTGATTTCCTACAGCACAGTTCTGAGCTGCCTGTCACACACTGACACTGCCCCTCCCACCCTTTCAGTGACTCATGACACTCATTTGTGTCCACTTGTTTGCTCCTCCATTGAAAATAGGAATTAAAAAGTTCATCCTTCTCCTAAAGTGACTCCACAACTCCCTCATAAGGAGATTTAAGATGATTTCTATTTCAGAACTCCGAGGCCTCTATACTTCAGTTTTTGTAAGAACACTGCAAAAGGTGGTCCCTGCCTCAGAAAGTAGCTTACAATTCACTTGCAAGAAGGCCGCTTAAGGATGGCAAATTACAGCAGGGCTAAAGGAGGGAAAGGCGGGGGGAAGATATATGCAGAATAAGTTACAAAAGCATTCAGAATTGACAACATGTTACCTGGTGTTGGGGGAAGGGAGGGAAATGGGGTCCACTATTTCTACTGTTCTTCAGAAATCAGACAACCTGCTTGGCCAAGCCAAATGCAATAAGCTACAGACACATCAGTTTATTTTGCAAAGCACCTTAGCAAATACAAACCTTTGTCCAAGTAAGGACATAGTGTCCTCATGTCAAAGACCTTCCAATCATGGACACTGGAGTTTATAAAACAGTGCAATTCATTACACATTATTAAATCTAACCCATGGAAGTTTTTTCTAGGTTTTAGGACAACTTTCACTCCTACTTCAACAGCTACTCTCAGATTTATTCATATAGTTACAGACATTACGTACCTTGGTTTTAACCTTTTCCAACTCCTTTTGCAAGTGCAATTTGTCTTCCTCCAAGTCGCTGCGGTAGCGCGTAGTAACTTCAAGTGAAGCTTCTGACATAGATTGCTTTTTAAGAGCATCAGCAAGCTCCTGCTGCAGCTGTCTGACCATGCCCTAATGAAACAGTTCAATCAGCATGAAGAAAATTGTAAGAACATGAAATATGCCTTTACTTTAACTTATTTGATTATACAATTAGACCTGTCTTCGGATTGAACTCAAAGGTATGAAATTTTGCCTGCCACCAGCAGGCACCTGCAAAACTGATGACCTCTCTTCATCTTTCTCAGCTGAGCACCTCCAAACTATCAGCAGCTGTTCATGAGGATTTCTGTTTCCTAATACATAAAAAAGGCTCAAGTATTGTTCTTCTCAGAACTATACACAAGCACACAGTGCAATCATGTATTTTTTTCTAACAAAACCCGAAGAAAACTGTTGCAATATAAGAGCTACAGTTTGACTGCAGGTATTACTCTGATGACCAAAGACAGGATTTCGTATTAGATGGTTCTTTGTTCTATTCCTCCATTATATAATATAATTAAATGAATACATATATCTGTAAGCTCTTTTGAGATACACTTTAAGTGTATGTTGAATCACATCCTCTTGCAGACTTCTTACCAAGTTCATTTCAGAATAACAACTGCCTTTATACTGACAGATTAGGTTTACAAAAATCTGGATAGTTCATATATGTCTCTAGTATCTTCAAAAGGAACCTGTTATTTTGGTAGTAAGAATACAAAGCAATTCACAGATTAAAATGATTGACAGCACTGCTGGAGTTCTTCCCACCCCCCCACCTCCCACCTTAAAATAACTGACAAATTAAGAATAAGGTGGTTCTCTGACACATGCAGATGTTTACCGCACTCAAAGATTCTGGATTTGTTATGAAGAAGGAAATGTAATTGCAAATCACTAGTTAAATCATTAAGGGAGACAAACCTTACACCAGAGTGTCTAAATACTGAACGTGATTAGTTCCTATTTTCTAGAAAGTAAAGAAAGATTTAACAAAATGGGTAAGGCAACTTTTAAATCATTGCTCTATCTGGAATTGGTAGAATACTCTACCAATAGAACAGACCCTACCTACTCCCAGGAACATATATAATAATGCATTCTCCCATTACCTATAGCTTTTTCAACTGTCTACCTATTCCTCACTCCTACCCCCGCCTTTATTGTCTTCCACCCTTTTTCTTGACAAAAACCATCTACATGCAGAAATGGCAGCAACACTTGGTTCATGCATGTTTGAGTGACATAAAATTATGCTAGTGCTCTGCATAGGAGCATTTTTCATACTCATGTACTGTGTCAATTTGCAGAAAGACAGTTTAACTGATTTCCTAATTAGTTTTCTGTCCAGTTGATAGTCTTTCAGAAAGCCACAGAGAAAGAAAGAACACATGTAGGTATGGCTACACATCATAAAATAGAGAAAAGAAAGCTTAGGTCTGAAATGAACTTCTCAAGGAACAGGCAGGCCCCTTAGAACCCCCAAAACACATCCATAAATTAACTACTAATACTCTTCAGTTTTGATAGCAATGTATGGAGAAGTGTTTTTTTTTCTCTGTAGGAGCTTAGTATAAATTCATCCCCCATCACTTCACTTGTCTCCATCTTCATTTCTCAGCCCTTGCATATTGGATGGTTCTTCCTTTTATACCACTCTTATTTGTGTCATCAGTGTAATACATATATAAAACCCATCAAATACATAAAACCATTCTATAGGGCATAAAATGGACAAAGAAAAAGAGGAAAAGAGTTCTGGAGAAGAATCACCTTTCTTAATCAAAGCTTAGACTTGGACACCTTCTTTCTGTTCTCTGCTCAGATCTGAGCAGTAACATCCTGTTTGCCAAAACCTTCCACAATTCCAAGAGAAACACGACAAATCTGAACAAATCAGCATTATTTAGTCCCATGCGTATAACTTATACCTGGTACATTTTAGAAACATAAAATAATTTCAAGAACTGACAAACTTTACATTGTTCTTTCTAAGTGTATACTTTACCTCTCTTTCTACTTTGTCAGTCTCATATTTGAAGACTTGTTCTCTTAAATCAGTACACTTGGCATTTAATTCCTTGTTTCTCTCTTCCACTAGGTAAACTTGCTTTTCAGTATCAGCTCTGAGTTTGTTGAAAATATCATTAAACCGGTCCTGCACATCATTCACTACTTTTTCTTTGATGATGCCCTTGTTCTGCATATCTTCCAGTTGCTGACGGAGTAAAAGATTTTCACTCTGGAGCTGGGCCAATCGCTCCTGCATAGATTCCTGCTTTATTATAAATTTGCTTACTTGATCTTTCTCAAGTTGTCGAGCATGATCACATTCCTTTGCCTGACACTGGGCTTGACTTAATTCTTTTTGTGTCATTTCTAAAAGCAATGTTTTTTCTCTGAGCGTTTGTTTCAACTGGTGAAGCTCATTTTCTAGACTATTAGCTTTGCTTTCAGCTTTACTCAGCTGCTGAGACAAGCTCTTGTTGGTTTCTCGCACATCAGAGAGGTCATGATGGAGCTTGTCTTGCACGCGAAGCCATTCATCACGTTCTCTCTGAAACGTTCGTTCAACATCACTTTTTGATGACTGATGACGTTCAAGTTCTTGCACAGTAGTGTTCAGGCGGGAACGAAATGATTCAATTTCTGTCTCTAGTCTGTCTTTGCTTTCTTTTGTCTGCTCAAGTTTGGAAGTTAGCACCGCAGATTCTGTCTTTAATAAGTTCAGCTGTCCGTTGTACTGAAAAACTGTCTGTGTTAAGGCTTCCTCATTCAGTTTAAGTTCCTTTTTGAGATCTTCATTTTTTTCTTTCAAGGTCTCATTTTCTGCTAAATATTTTCCTTCTTCCTCCTGGTGCCTAAGTCTTATTTGGTCAAGTTCTAGTCTTAGCATAGCAATCTCATCTTGTAGTAACTGATTTCTGAACAACAGATCCTTTTCTCTCTCAGTGTCGGATTCCTGAATGACAGGGAACATGAATAAATAGCCAGTTGGGAAATGGATCTACAAAACCACCTCTGCATCAAACTGCGTTTTAACATTTCTAATACCGAAGAATGACTTCAAAGATGAGAGTGAAATTTCAGGTAATACATAAGCTACACTATGAACCCACGCACATGTACAATGTATGCGCACACTGGAAGTGTAACATACCCTTAAAACCTAAATGAACATCCCAGCCTTTTTTTTTCCTTGAACAGCAACCAAATAATAAAATTATCTCAAAAGTATAGAGCTTTTAAAATGACAGTGTTTTCTTGTATGTGCATGCCTTTAAAATATTCCCTTTAAGGTTAATTTAGCTGTGTTACAAATCTGGTAAAAATAAGGCTAAAAAGGGTATTTTCCTTCTGGGACATTTAGCAAAATTGCAAAAAATATAAATGCTACCTTTTATCTTGTATCAGTTGTCAAATATTGTCTTAACACTTATCTTTTGTATTACTGAAAGTTAGCTATACAACTCAATCATCCCTGGAATGCAACAGTCTTGTTATTTCCTGTTTATAATATATATAACTTTTTCCACATAAATGTATTCATCCTACATTTATTGGGCAGCACAGCCAAGAACAAATAATTCTTCCAAGCACTGCACATTCTTAGTAAATTCAGTAAACTCTTTTCAAGATTTTTTTTTTTTATACAGTGTTTATGATTGCTTTTTCTCCTCCAATTATTCTAACTCCTAGAGAGAGTTTAATTCATTGCTGATATTCCTTCATAAAATTTTAGTATTTGGAGGTGGAAAGGAAAGGCATACTTGAAGTAAGTAAGTTTGATAAGGGAATAAGTCATTAAAAAAACCAAGTAATGGGAACACAAAGAGTGAGCGTCAAACAACTTTCTTCCTGGTCAACCTTGACATAGGTAGCTAGGTGTTTCATTGCTAGAAACCTTAAAAAGTGATGATAAAATATCTACGAAATGAAATATAACAGATAGGTTAAGAAATGGGGTATATAGTGTCTTCTATTAGCTTCCTACTTGCACATGCAATTCAGGTATATACAGGACTGATGCTGCTTTCCAGAACTTTTAAAGACATAAGGGAAAACAGAAAAGGTATTTACACAGTTAAGTTACATTGGTAGACTGTAAATAATCCATCAAGAAGCAGAAAAAAATTATGTAAGATTTATTACAACTTTAGAACAAACATGGTGAAATTTAATTAATTAGAAAAAATCTGCTTACCTCTGAATTTTTTCCTATAGTTCTTCTTGTCTCTTCTTCTAGTTCCTTCTGTCTCCAAAGGTGGTTGTTCAAAATTCCTTCTTGCAGGGCTCTGGCACTCTTTTCCTGAGAGAGCTGTCTCTGTGTTTCATCACGCTCTTCTTCAACCTACAGTAATATGATTAAACTACTTGCATCTTGAGAAAAATCAGAGCTCGCAATATCTTCCCATTCTCCTTTGTATTCTTTCAAATATTTTTGCTTCCCCACAGTTATGATAGTCCATCTATAAATAGTAAATTTTAATTTTCTTCTGAAAAATTAAGAATACAGAATATTTTCTAGTAATTTAGAAAAATAACTCAAAGTCAGGCTTTGCCTGAAATACAAATGAAACCTAAATTTTGAAAAAGGAGAAAAGGAATCATGAACTTGCAAAGAAAGAAAGAAAAAAACCCCAAACAGTCCACTTCTGAACCAACTGTTCTCAACTGTCCTCAAAATTTGGCAACAGTTATCCAATGCCTCTTCCATGAACAAAGTACCTCCTTCTTTAGGCATACTGGACTACAGTGCCAATTAAAAGGAAGCAACAACTAAGACGACAAGTGTTTAACTCATTGTTTAATATACCTGTTTCAAGAGGTTTCTCAGTGTTATTAACTCCATTTCTAAATTCCTTGAGTGTAACTCAAGTTGCTGTTTCTCCTCCATCTCTTTACAATATTGATCTTCTTTCCTTCTGAGTTTTTCTCTTGTTTTCTCATATAGCGTTTCTACTCTGAGCCTCTTTTCCTCTTCTTGTTTCAAAGTAAATCTGGGATTTAACAGAATATTTGAGAAATTAAAGCACTGATATAAAAAGTAGATATTCCACATTCTGAACTTGCAGAGACAACGTAAACAAAAAATACGAAATCTTTTCAGATTATACCAATAGGTATTATATTCAGGTATTATTCATATTATACCAATTGGTATTATAATACCAATCTTTTCAGATTTCATATTTTTACTGTAATTTTTTAACTTTTTAAAGAATTCTAACTTCATTCCATTATCCATGGTATCAGTGGTACAAGATACGGAAACAAACCGTTGAGTGATTTATCATTTATTTGTAAGTAAGTTTAGATAGGTAAATATACAGTAGTATGCATATTTCTATAATTCTTGAAAGAAAAAAAATAAATCATGTTCACATCACATACATTTCATTCAGTGTTGTTGAGTTTGTTGTCTTATCAGATCAAAGGATCATAAACTTTTACCATGATTAATATATATTTTCTTAATATGCTGAGCATTGCCTACATATTACGGATTCAGTGATTGCAAGTAATACTGATGAAGCAGCACACCACTTATCTGACAGACCCAACAACTTTTTAGCAGGCCTTCTGTAAGTCTAAAACAACTGCTGACCATAGGAAGAACAAGCAGTTTCTGTTTACTCAAGAATGAGGACAGTGTTCAAAAACAGGTTTAGAAATGCATAGGGTTTAAGCTTAATATGATTAAAAATAGTTTTAAACCTCAATGGATCTACACCTGGGAGAAACAATAGCAATTTAATTTTGAAGCTAATTTCTAATGAAAGCCTTAGGGAACGTCAACAACTTTACTATCTGAAACAATCAGCAATAAGCACCAACATGGTAAAAAGTGGTCCATGGTGTGTCCACGGCGCCCAAACAAGAAACAGTTTTATGTTTTATAATTATTTTGAATATTTTTTCTGATATCCTTGCAACGGTCAACAAGAAAAAGAATCAAATATTAACATAAGGAAAGAGCTGCCAATTGAAAATCTGCTTTAGAAATTCTGCAAAACAAATATCAACAACCACTAATAAATTGTTCAAAAGATTGACAGTAACATTTGTATTTGAATGGTTTATACTGCAAGGAAAAATCTTTACATATAATTTTTAGTGTAATTTCACAAGAAGTATAGCTTTTATTAACATTGCTTCAAGAATTTATGTAGAACAAAAATTTAATTCTTTGTAATCGATAGATATTTGAGAATTTGGAAAAACGGTTGTAGTGAAATCCAGGCCAAGTTGGGACTGGCTTTGTCTTCCTCATAATCCTCTTCTACATACTAGGAGGCACAACTCCTCGAAGCTCAGTTCCCTCAGCCTCTCCTCACAGGGCTGGTGCTCCTGCTCCCTGACCAGCTTGGTAGCTCTCTGCTGAACTCATGCATATTGATTAAGATCTCTCTGGAACTGGGAGGCCAAAAATTTGGCCCAGTGCTCTAGACACAGTTCAGCAAGTGCTGAGTAGGGGCAGACAGTCACTCCCCTCAATCTCCTGGCTCTGCGGCTCTTAATACAGCCCAAAATGCTGTTGGCCTTCTCAGCGGCCAGCTCATGCTGGCTCATGTTGAGCTTGCTCTACCAAGACTGCCAGGGCCTTCTCAGCAAGCTCCCCAGCCAGGCCATCCCACGGTACATCATCCCATGGGGATCTTCCTTCCCAAGTGCAGGGCTTTGCATTTGTCCTTGCTGAATTTCATATGGTGCCTACTGGCCACTCCTGTTTGAAGTGATGTGAACAGTCATTAAAAACCTGACACCATCCAGGTCTAGCTCAGGAGTATGAGGAAAGGGGAAATCCCAAATTTGACCTTTCAAATAAACAAATAAGCAAGCAAACAAATGTTCTAAGCTCTGTTCTGAGTTGCATTCTGTGCAGTTCCCAGAATTCTAGCATTATACACCAACAGAAGCTGCAAAGACAAAATCAAAAAAATACGTATCCCATAAATGTCTCTCTTACAAGTCTCGTTTTCCCACACATACTCTCTTGTTCTCTTCTCTTGCTATTAAAAAAAAGTTAAAACAACATCCAGAAGATTTCACGTGGAGCTAATATCCAGGCATTTTTTCCCCCCTGACATTGTGTCCTTTATAACATAACTTGCCCACAGGATTCAAAAAACCCAAACCCAAAAGACTAGAAACTTCTCATCCTATCACCTGTACCATCAGCATCTTCTGGAACATGAACACTGACAGGATAACATATTATCAGAACGCAAGGTTACATACTTAAGGCTTTGGATATCACTTTTCCATTCCACTTCTTGGTGAGCCAATATGGATTTCAAATCTTGAGTCTTTTCTGCTATTAATTGTGACTCCTCCTTTTCACTTTCCAACTTCTTTACTTCTCTCCAAACAGCTGTATACCGATTTTTTTCACGTTCTATTATCTGTTCATATTCAAGAAGTATGTTCTGAATTTTCAACAAAATAGCAGAACCTGTTTTGAGATAGAAAAGACACAAAGCTACACATATGCACAAATACTTTCCAATGTATAAATTATTTAATGCTTTGCTGTATTGGGTGCAGGTAGTGGGGAGATCTCTGCGAGAGAGGCCAGGGGTTGCCCCGTGCCGGATACAGCCAGTTCCAACAGACCCACTGCAGAGCACAGCTGAACCTCTCAGCCATGCTGGTGGCACCTCAGGGAAAATGTATTTAGGAAAGGGCAAAAATGCCACACAGGCAGAGAAGGGGAAAAGAATGTGAAAAACAGCCCTGTGAAGGTCAGTGAAGAGGGAGGGGGGAGGTGTTCCAGGTGCCAGAGCAGAGATTCCCCTGCAGCCCATGGAAACACCATGGTGGAACAGGTATTTCCCTGCAGCCTCTGGAGAGGTCCATCCTGGAGCAGATATCCACAATGCAGTGCTCTGGAGGACCCCATACCAGAGCAGGTGGGTATTTCCTGAAGGACCTGCGGCCCATGGAGAGCCCAGGCTGGAGCAGGTTTTTCCTGAAGGACTGCAGCCCATGGAAGGACTCACACTGGAGCAGGGGAAAAGTGTGAGGAAGAAGGAGCGGCAGAGGGAAACTCCTATGTCCTGACTGCAGACCCCAGGCTCCTTGTGCTGCCTGGGGAGGGGTAGGGGAGTTGGGAGTGAAGGAGAGAAGTTGAGCTTGAGAAGGGGGTGGTGGGGAGGTATTCTTTTAATTTTTTTTGTCTTTTTTTCCTCACTATCCAAATCTATTTTAATAGGACAAATTAAGTTAAGTTTCCCAAAGTGGAGTCTGTTTTGCCTGTGACAGTAACTGGTAAGTGATAGCCCTGCCTTTATATTGATCCTTGAGCTTTTTCATCCTATTTTGTCCTGTTAAGGAAGGGCAGTAAGAGAGCAGCTGGGTGGGAGTTTGGCCTTTAGTCAAGGTTAACCCTTGCCTAATGGAATTTTAGCATAGTTTAACAGATGTAGTAAGTGACACTTACGTTTATATAATGCTACATGTATATATGCAAGCACCTTATGAGAGTTGAATGAATATATATACAAAAAAAAATTTAAGCAAAGACACTATTTTGCTGCACTATTTGTCATTAGCTATTGGGGGGATATAAAGAGGAAAAAGAAGATCTTGCTAACTTTCAATGACTGCATTAGAAGGAGCTGAACTGTACTTTGCAAGAACCTGCTTCTCCAGCTCTGACTAGACGGAGAACCAATGATAAAGTAAGGCATGTTTGCTGACAATACAGGCAGACATCTAAGGTTAGGTGAGATAATTTCACATATTTTGAGGTGGATCTCTAATCATAAAGAAATACTAGATCAAAATATAAAACTAAAATACCTAGGAGTGCACATAAAGAAATCATGTTTTAAAAGAGGAACTTGTAACAGCTGAAGACAAAGTGACTTGAAAGCATACCCGTATGATCCACACTAAGCTGTTCTAACAGCAACATAGCCTCTTTGTAGGTTGAAGTTGGTAATTCAACATCCTCTGAAGTTGTGTCAGATGAGTGAGTTAAATCAAGATCATCAGTTACATCCATTTGTATGCTGACCTGCGAACAATACAGTATTTTCTGTATACAGCTATATAGTATTACAGATCATTACAAATGCACGAATGATTCATTTTCTCATTCATAGCCTATAGATTTGGCTCAAATATGATAAAGTTGCATCCTAGCAGCAATTTATGCATCTGGATGATCACTACATAAACACTGTTCCCATCTAAGTGATTAAAAGCTGATACGAACTATTTATCAAGAAACTAATTTTACAGTACCTTGTTCTTTTCATTCCCTGTTTTTGCTGCAGGTCTGGAAAACAGAAATGTATTTCAGTACTGGAATGCTTATATTGCGTTATGACAATATCTCAAGTTGCTCTGGAAACTTAATTTCAGAAGTGAATTAAACTAAAAATTAATATAAGAATTCTGTTAGATTTAGTTGAAGACTGAAAAAAACATAATTGTGTACTATTATGTCTATTGGAAGGCTATTTTTTCCAAAAGATATTAAGCAAATAGTTGAAATAACTGTTCTCTGCACTTCACTCAAAATGATAGGAATCTTACAGATACGTAGATATACAGTTATGTGCATTCCCTGTTTAATACTAGAGGTTTAACTCTCTTCAGTATTGGGAATCCTTCTCTTACAGGTCAAAGAACCATAATTTTGGATTCTCTAGTGTACTGGGTCTGGCTGGGATGGAGTTAATTTTCTTCATAGCAGCCCACACCGTGCTGTGTGTTAGATTTCTGACCAAAACAGTGTTGATAACACACCAATGTTTTAGCTATTGCTGAACGGTGCTTGTACAGTGTCAACACCTTCTGTTTCTCACTTTGCCTCCCACACAAGTAAGTTCAGGGTGGGCAAGAAGTTGGGAGGGGACACAGCTTGGGGGAGGAAAAAAAAAAAAGGCTGAAAAAACCTGAGATGTCTGCAGTGAAAGAGTAATTTTGCTCTTTTATAAGTCTCTCCCCTCTCTTTTTAAAAATATAAAACATATATATTTACGCACACGCACACACTCAGGTAATTCAGAATTTTAGCACATCTGACCTTATCATTAACTTGGCTGGTATGTTCAAAGCACTCTAAGCAAAAAGGAAGTTTTTGAACACAAAGGCTATCAGGTAGTGTTGTCAGATGAAAGAACAAGAATCATTGTACACATCTGGGTTTACAAAACTTACCTTTAGCTTTCAGGTCAATTTTTATCATTAAGTAAGTTTTATTTATAACATTCCTTATATTCAGTACCTTCTTTCATCTTGAGATGTTTCACTGAAAGTGCTATCATCCAATACTTGAAAATGATTTCCACTGGAAGAGCTCATCTGCTGATTAGCCTTCTGCTTTGAAGTCTGTCTTTTATTCTTCTTTGCAACTTTGGCATTCAGGGCAAATTTACTACATTAAACAGAAAGAAAAAAAAAATCACCAATTGAGTAGCTTTACATGAAATATTTCTGCAAAACAGACATACTTAAGATGATGTCCAGAAACAACTGAGATGAAAAATATCTATGATAAAACACAGACTTGACTCCAAAGATCATGGAAGATACTCAAGTATTTTAAAAAACTGTCCCCTAGGAACGAGGGGGAAACATGGAATCTGAGCTAGATTCAGGTAAGCTGGAACATTTCTAATATCCCCATTAGAGGAAGTATCTAGAACAGAGATTCCTTTGAAGGACAGATAGGAAAAAACCTCCTGCTTAAGGTTACATAAAAATATCTGTGCCTTCTTCAACCTTTTGAGATTGGTTTGGTAATACCATCTTTTCCCTTTTCCTGACAAAGAGCATCTGAACTTAATGAAAAAGAAAACACCAACTGCATGGAGATCACTAAAATCACCTAGAAAAGGGAGAAAGCAAAGTAAACTGCAAGTTCCTACTTTTTTTTTTTTCCGGATGGCCATTTCCTACAAAAATAACTGTTTTTTCTCAGTCCTCAACTCTGGTTTTGAAGACACGTTTTGCCTCAGTATTGACAAGGAAACCCAAAGAAATTTGAATTTTTTTTTTTTTTTTTTTTTTTTTAAAGCAGGCAATAAATTTGAACCTCCATTATGAGCTTAGTTTTTTCTAATTTTTTTTTTTTTTCTTAAATGTTTGAGAAGCAATGGACTACTCAGTATGGCTTTCAGCATTGAGGAAACTGCTTGAACTACTGCAATATTAGAAAACTTAAAAGATACTTAAGTAGTACAACAAATAATAATTTGTACAAATAATTGGAGATTATTTCCTTAGTTTACCCTTTCATCGGCATTTTAATCAATTTTGATCTCTCCTCAGATGAAAAATTCTTTTTGTCTTTTTCTTCTATGGTGTTTTCATTCTCCATTTTCAAAGAGTCATTCTTCCTTAGAGTAATCTGTTGTTTCATTTGCTGATTAGTAACATTGTCTGCCGGTGTATTTAATTTATCAAGATCTTCCTGTTTTGCCACCGCCTGCGTTTTGAAACATCTTTGTTTGCTTTTTTCCTTCTCAACCTATAAAAAGAAAGTTAATCTTCATACATTTCTCAGTATTTCTAGAAGAGAGAAACACCATGTCCAAGACTGAATAATTCAGGGTTTACCTCTGAAATAATGTAAAATGAAAAAAAAAAAATTAATTCATATAGAGAAGCATTTTCACAAAATTACACTACAAAGCATGTCAAGTCATTGAAAGTACTTTGAATTCACTCATGATTAAAGATATGACAAAAATATAGCCCTTAGAAAGAAAACAAGTGTATCTTAAAACATGAACAAAAAAGTGAAAGTGTTACTGATGGACAAAGAGTTAGAAGGACTGCACAATGTTAGTTGTAAAAACACAGAAACAAAAAATCAAGTGGAAGTGTGCTGGGCTTCTGCTTCCTTAATGGGGGGGTGGGGCGGGGAAGAGATCCCAAACCCACAAGCAGAAATGGTTTCACAGCAAACAAGAATTTTAGTGATGGGCAATGAAGACACACCATGCAGAAATCACAGCAAATGAATAGATTAGTCAAGACCCTGTTCAGAAGCTATTTTCATTCTTTGATTCAGAATCAGAACTGATGGAATTGTGTGCATTTCTTTTTTATGGCAATGAAGTGATAACTACTTACACTGGAACTGAGTGCCACCTATTGGTAAACTGGAACAATAATGCATTCTGTGTTTTCCAAAAACCTTTTAATTACATAATGGGGAAAAGGACAACTCTCCACTGCTCTCTTTATTCATGAGTAATATATTTCCATTAAAACAAAAACCAATTTGCACAAAGCATCTTCCCTTAATGACGAATAGCTAAAGTGAACAGGACCATTGATATGGAGAAAGACTAAAGAATAAGGAGTAGCAGGTGAACTTCTACCTCTTTTTGCAGCTGTACCTTCTCCTTCTCCAAAGCCAGGAATACTATTTGCAGCATTCCTACCTTACTCTTAAATCTTTCCATATCTTGTTTTAGTTCTTCATCAAGATTCCTTTTCAGCATGCCACACGACTGCTGAGCATTTGCAAAAAGACTGTCAATTTCTGTTTCTCCTATTTTATTGTTGTCCATAAGGCAGTCCCTGGAAACATCATCATTAAATTCAGAGTCTTTTCCAAGTTTCCTTTCTGTTACAAAAAGTGCATTTTCATCACTCGTAGAAACAGGTCTTATTTTAGGAAAAATATTAGAAACTTCATCCAAAATACTTGTTTTTAAGCTATGTCTCAGGGAGTATTCAGGACTTCCCTCTACATTTCTTCTACTTCCATTTTCATTCTCTTCCATTTCCATAGTAAGCATTTTCTTTTCCTCTCCTTTTGCTAGAGGCACCTTTGTATTATCTGTATCGTTTGTGCTATCTTCTTCATCTGTACTCCAGGTATCTTCCATGTTTGCATTTAAGTTATTTTGGTCAGGAAGGACACCAAGACTTGGAATTACAATTTCCATTTTGGGTTCTTTTCCATCTAGCATAAGTTTAATATCTCCAAGTTTACCTTTACTTTCTAACTTATTACTTGATTCCGTCGCATGAGATGAAACAACACGAGAACTCTTCAATTCTTCACTGAAGCCATCTTCTGACACTTCTTCCACAAGGGAAGTAGTTTTCCCCATTTCATTAATTTCACCAAACAGCTGCTTCAGCTCTGCTGTAATGTTTTTAAAATTTGTTTTCAATTCCCTTTTCTCATTTTCAACCCACATTCTTTCATATCTTTCTTCCCAAGGTTTTGGACTTAACTGCTTGTCAGCACTGTGCAATTCCTCATTTTCTGCTAGGGCTTCCTGATGTGAAATTTCTGCTTTGTCAGTCTGATTTTCATGTGCTGTTTTTTCTATCAAGTTGGTGGTTTCTAAACCATATTTATCCTTAAGTAAACAGGTACAGACAGAAAGATTACCAAGAAAAAGGAAGTTACAGTTAATCTAGGTAATTTCTGTTGCAAACTCATCCTATCATATAACAGAAATAATAGAAACAAGACATTTTGAAAGCAATTGTTTATAATAAAAATCAAGGGATACCAAATTAAAGCTTCACTGAAGCATTATTTTCTTAAAAATAGAAGGACTTACTTGAGGGACAATTGGATTAGATTTGTCTGGACACTACGGTTGCTTTTACCTTTTAGCCTGCCTGCTTTCTGTAACTGGTGGCATTTGTCACAAAGCAATTTATTTTTTCACGTTGTATTGCTTTAATACCATTTTTCATTACAACTGCCTACATTTCCCCACTCTCCTTCCTCCATCATTCTCTACTGTCTGGCATTTACAGTCCTCTGCCAGCTGAGCTAATACAATGTGAATGAACATGACAAGCTTTTACTGTCCACCACAAGGAGAGTTGGCTAAGTTAGGACTATTTCTTCACCCAAGACTCAGAAATATTAAATTCCATTCCAAGCTCCAAAGAAGAGCATTTATTAGGGAAACCTGTCCATTCCTTCCCTTATCCAAAAATCAGGAACCCAAGCTTGTATGAAAACCATACCACGCCTCAACCCTACCCAGTCTCCTCACATCCCTGACCCCCATGCTCTGTTCCTCAACAGTTCTGACTGCTCCTGTCATGTGTCAAACTCCTCCCAACACGCTCCCTCCCCACATGCCTCCTTAGCTCATGGTTCCTTCTAAATAGGGCCTGCAGCCTTGGTGCGCCAATGGGCTAAGACGTCCAACTCCTCGCTCTTTTCTCACTAGCATGGCCTTCTCCCTCTGCAAAAATTCCTCCTTTCAGCACCTCAGCCAGACACCACCTGTCTCAGCTTCTCCATTCCCAAGTTCATTGCCCAACTACTACCACCTTCCAATAGGCTTAAGTTCTGTGCTCTGCCTGTTAAAATTAAGCATGTCCCTCTTTCACGGTGCCTGGGTGTGGGGTGGAAATAATTTGCTCCACTGTCCCTTGAGACGTTACAGAAGACTCCAGATCCCTCTATCCAGCCCTGTCCTGTATGCCCAACACAAACAGGATGCCTGCCTTATTCCCTTCTGCAACGCTCTCTGAAAAAAACACTTTTCAAACATCTATTAACATGGCCAAACAAGGGTATATTTTGCAGAGGCAGGGAAAGAAAGCATCAGGAAGGTCACCAAATTTCAAGTTTTTTTGTTTGACCTTTCTTTTACAAAGGCGAAGACCAGGTGTGTTTAATCACACAGATCAGCAGATTATACACAAATCTCCCTCTTCATTTGCATGTGCATTTTGCATAGGGAAAAAAACGTATTTGACTGCACTGTTTCTCAGCACCGCACAAAAGGAAAAACACTGGCCAAAATTTAAGCAAACCAGCTGGAAACAAACCAGTATAACAGCAAGTATCCAACGTAAGGACAAGGATTTTACCCCACCATAAGAAGATTGTATCCAAGTTTACTTCAGACTATAATACAACCTTCATCTACAGGACTCTCCCTTCAGCATTACTCACTGACTGGTAAGTTTTCTTTAGCATATAATACAATTTACCAATTCAGACTCTAATTCAAAATATTTGGTTTTACATACCCGCACCCCAAAGTTTTCAATGGCATCCTTGATGTCTTCTTTTTCAGCTGATGATGACATATGAAAGGTAGATCCTGAGTACTCACCTACAGTGAAAACCACATATTTTTATAACCAGCATGACTTCATACTACTTATTTATACCTACAGTGCATCTTGAATCATCGTATTTGTGAGAAAAATCTTAACACAAAATAACACATCCCCTCAAATTTGGGAAATCCTAGAGAGAAAACTATCATAATACAGATTTAAGATGCATCTGTGTGAATTCCTTTCTTTCAGGGCATTTTACTTTTTAATGCATAAAGGAAATTTGCTGAAAATCACTATAAATGGTCACAAATAAACCATTCCCGTTTCTTAAAGGCGGGGGTGGGGAGGGGGGGAAAGAGAGTGCACACGCGCGTGCATGAGTGCGAGTGCTAGCTATGACACACCATGTGCCAGCTATGACATACTGTGCCATGCAGTAACTAGCTACATTCCTCCAGCAATCTTAATTTCCCTATGTGTTCTGCACAGAAAATGACAAACAACATCATCACAGGCTTGAAATCTTTAAGGCCCCAGTAAACCATGCATGAAACAAATCTGTCCCTAGGCATGGATCTGGACTGAGTATTTCAAACTGCTGCCTCATCTGTTGCAGAAGACACAGATGGAACACTGAATGAGAGAGAGGCTTGTGAAATGTTGAGAAACAACCCATGATCTGGACGTTTCACTTGTACCGTTGAAAATTGGATTCCACCGTTTCCTCTCTCAGAATTTCTAAGTAATATTGGACAGATCACAAACTCCTCAGAACCAGTTGCCAGTCTGGGTTCCCCATTATGGGGTGCCTATCTTGAATCTCTGTTATATCTGAGAATTGGACTCCAAATAGACCCAGATACAACTTCTAAGCAGCAACTCATTGTCGTTGTTTGTGTGGACGGCAAACTGAACACTCTGAAGTATCAAGTATTCAGAAAGAAACAAGTCCCAGCAGCTCAAGTGTGGCATCTAAAAACAGAGATTGAGGCTTTTCACCTTAATCACTCTGCACCTCCTTTCCTGCTCCATAATTTTATGGTTTCTACACAATAGCCTTTCTATACACAAAGCTTTACTGCTAGAGTGACACAATATTCTATTCTTCCTACAAGAAAAGTGAGCAAGACAGGGAGAAAATAGGTATCATCATAAACATACAAAAGGTTCCAGCATTAACAAGTCACATGGCCAACCTCATGTCTGGCATTTTCTGCTTTAGGCGACTCCTTTTGCAAGCTTTCATTTCTTGAAGGGGATTACATTGGATACAAGCTTACAGTTACAACTCGGATGTCTGAGCTGGGAACCTAAGCTCCTCAGTCAGTCATACAGGTCTCCAGAGGTCGATTCTAACCTCAAGTGACACAGCATGAAATAACAACCTTCTCCTCCCACCTCAATCACTGGTGGGTACAATTTCCTAGATTGTTTGTACTTTAGCACAAGGCATTTCCCAACACACATTAGTCATTAGTGGGTTGACAGCACTTATTTCACAGGGTTTTTTATGATGATCCGTTGATAACTATGATGCATTTCAGACAGTCTGATGAGTATTAAAGATAATAATAACAACAATAATTAATGATTATCTAAGGATAATGTTCTATAAGGAAAACAGGCATTTTCCCCTTTTGCTTGTTTTTCAAGATCACAGAGTAGATTTAGCCTTTACTGACACTTGTAGATATCCCAATACCAAGCTGTTTGCTGGTGCAGATGAAGACTCCAACTAGCATTAGAAATAGAGGACTGATGTGCTGGTGGTCAAGGAACATTTGTAGATAGCACCATAGAAGGTATTGTAGAGAGTGTCATAAGTTATCAATACCAAGATGCTTGGAATAAGTAAATGCTTAGCTCCTATACAAATAGCCTCCATACTTTGGAGATCAACATCTTCCTTTCCTCCAATAGTTATGCATAGTTTTTGTAGATGGGTCCTTGTCCCTCTTACTAGAATTGTAATGTGGCTGGATAATCTGAACCAGCAAGTCCCTCCCTCACTGAGCATACTGTCCCCCGTATAACAAACAGCGCTGCTAAGAAAAGGCAAGGGGTGATAGTAGTAGGCGACTCTCTTCTGAGAGGTATGGAGGCACCCATTTGCCAATTGGGAGCACGCTCTAGAGAGGTGTACTGCTTATCAGGGGCTCACATCAGGGACGTCACCGAGAGGCTACCAAGCCTCGTACAGTCCACCGACTATTATCTGCTGCTGCTGTTTCACGTAGGCACCAGTGACACAGCCAGGAGCAGTCTGAGGACTATCAAGAAGGACTGCAGAGCCCTGGGAGTGGCGGTAAGGGACTCGGGAGCGCAGGTAGTTTTTTCATCAGTCCTGCCGGTCAAAGGGAAGGGGTTTGAAAGGGCCAGTCAAATCTGGCGAGTCAACAAATGGTTACGGACTGGTGCCACAGCCAGGGGTTCGGCTACTTAGACCATGGGACTCGCTTTGAGAAACCTGGTGTACTGGGGGGTGACAGCATCCATCTGTCCGAGAAGGGGAAGAGCATCTTCAGTCACAGGCTTGCCAAGCTGGTGAAGAGGGCTTTAAACTAGAGGTGCCAGGGGAGGGGAACCTCAATCCATCCTACCAGTTTGATGCCAGGGCCAGCAATAGATGCCCAGAGCCTGGAGAAGGAACACAGGTCAGCAGGAGAGCGCCTGAAGAACAGCCACGCACGAAGCATGGGGAATAAACAAGAGGAGTTGGAGACGTGCGCACGCCTGCAGGGCTACGAACTTTTTGGCATCACGGAGACATGGTGGGATGGCTCCTATGATTGGAGTGTTGGGATGGAGGGATACAGGCTCTTTAGGAAGGACAGGCAGGGGAGACGAGGAGGGGGTGTTGCCCTCTATGTCAATGACCAGCTGGAGTGCATGGACCTCTGCCTGGGGATGGATGAGGAGCCAACCAAGAGCTTATGGGTCAGAATTAAAGGGAAGGCAGGGACAGGTGACA